CACAAAAAAAGCATTTAAAAATTATTGCTAAATGTGATTTGTTTTAAATGTAACAAATAAACAAAATGTTCTCATCCTTAACTCACTGAAATGAGTGAAAATAAGTATGAAAATCTGCATATCTTAAAGATCATATATGGTTCATCTTAAAATTAAAAGTGTTCAATTTCTTAGACAATCAGACAATATATTATATAGCAACTTATATATATATATATATATATATACATATAGGTTAGAGCGGGGCTAAAAGGTTCGCGGTTTAAAAATTTCCACCATTGATATTTCAAAAACAAGTAAAGTTAAAGATTTTTAACAACAATATTTGAAAGTAGAGTGTAAAGCATGTATAACCAGCCACCACGTTGATTCTTACGATGTCGCTGTGAGAAGATAAACGACAAAATTTAAAAATCCATAACAAAAGTATTTTCTTTCGATGTTAGTTTTTTGGTTGTGAGCGCTCCTGTTTGTTTAATATAATTTTTGTTACCTTAATATAGTTTTTAAAGTGTACGTCGTTTAAATATTTTATAAGATGCATTGTTATTTTTAAGTTAGATTTAACAGCTTTTTATACAACTTTTATAAAAGCTTACATGTGGGTAGGGTAAAACAGACCAACAGATCCTTTACCCTGGCAAATGTGTAGACAATAAAAATAGTAAATGAAAAAGTAAATTAAGATAAAATAAAAGAAACTTTACAAGATGTAAATTAAGAAAATTGTTATTCCATCTTTAATGATAAACATTTCTTACAAAATACCAGATCAAAGTTATATATAAGGTTATCACTGTGAAAAATGTACCCAAGAAACTTATTTTTGCATTGGTTGAATAATGTATCTATTTTTTCGCAAATCCCTTTATAATTAAAAATAAGACATTGCACCAGTTTGCTAGCTGGGAAAAAAATAAGACATTAGCAGGGAGTTTAACTGAACATAGTCATGTAGTTGTTTGTTTTTATAGTGTTGTTTGTTGTAATATTTATTTTTACATTGCTTTACATTCGCAATATAATTGCTCAAATTCAAATGGACCTTTGTGCCTTACCCTATTTAAAAATTATCATTAAATATGATTGGTTTTGATTTTGACAAATAGTTTTCAAACCTAAACCACACGAATAAATAAGTGATGTGAAAACATCGGAGCGCCGTAGTAGTTTGGGCGTAGCCGCATCTTACTTATCAACATAACAGGGTACATATGCGCTTGTAATGATTTTCACAAAAAAAGGGTTAAAATTATTGCTAAATGTGATTTGTTTTAAATGTAACAAATAAACAAAATGTCTCATCCTTAAGAAATCACTGAAATGAGGGAAAATAAGGATGAAAATCTGCAGATCTTAAAGATCATATATGGTTCATCTTAAAATTAAAAGTGTTCAATTTCTTAGACAATCAGACAATATATTATATAGCAACTTATATATATATATATATATATATACATATAGGTTAGAGCGGGGCTAAAAGGTTCGCGGTTAAAAATTTCCACCATTGATATTTCAAAAACAAGTAAAGTTAAAGATTTTTAACAACAATATTTGAAAGTAGAGTGTAAAGCATGTATAACCAGCCACCACGTTGATTCTTACGATGTCGCTGTGAGAAGATAAACGACAAAATTTAAAAATCCATAACAAAAGTATTTTCTTTCGATGTTAGTTTTTTGGTTGTGAGCGCTCCTGTTTAGTTTAATATAATTTTTGTTAACATTAATATAGTTTTTAAGTGTACGTCGTTTAAATATTTTATAAGATGCATTGTTATTTTTAAGTTAGATTTAACAGCTTTTTTATACAACTTTTATAAAAGCTTACATGTGGGTAGGGTAAAACAGACCAACAGATCCTTTACCCTGGCAAATGTGTAGACAATAAAAATAGTAAATGAAAAAGTAAATTAAGATAAAAATAAAAGAAACTTTACAAGATGTAAATTAAGAAAATTGTTATTCCATCTTTAATGATAAACATTTCTTACAAAATACCAGATCAAAGTTATATATAAGGTTATCACTGTGAAAAATGTACCCAAGAAACTTATATTTTGCATTGGTTGAATAATGTATCTATTTTTTCGCAAAATCCCTTTATAATTAAAAATAAGACATTGCACCAGTTTGCTAGCTGGGAAAAAAATAAGACATTAGCAGGGAGTTTAACTGAACATAGTCATGTAGTTGTTTGTTTGATATGTGTTGTTTGTTGTAATATTTAATTTTTACATTGCTTTACATTTCGCAATATAATTGCTCAAATTCAAATTGGACCTTTGTGCCTTACCCTATTTAAAAATTATCATTAAATATGATTGGTTTTGAATTTGACAAATAGTTTTCATCCTTTTCCCAATAACACACAATAAATTTGCTAATCGATAAGTATTAAATTATACAAAAATATCTGCATATCTTACACATTACTATTAACTTACACAATTTGGTTCAATAATTATAGTGTTTAATTTGTTAGACTAGATTAGGAATTATATAGCAACTTATAATATATAAGTGTTAAAATTTTAAATTTTATTTAAAATGATATGAAAATCGAAAAAATATTGACAATCACCTAAAAGTATTTATGACACACTTATCCGTCTCATATCTGGTTGCAATCGATGTCTATATACATTTTAAAATTGTCGCGGAATAAAACTCTAGTAAAAATCGCAAGTAACGAGCTAAAAGTTCTCTTCCTCCGTACGTGGTGTTGGTTAGTGTCGCGCGTACGCCGTAAAATCAATAACTATAAAGCGGAGTGGCTGGCTCTGCCTCTTTCGCTCGCATGCAAAACTGCAGCGTCGCGGGCGAAAGAGATAACATCGCCGACGTTTTGCTCAGCAGACACACACTGTGTGTATATAATTATGTGTAGTTATTATATATAGAGCGTTATCTCCTTTGTGCCATCTCATAGATATACCACATACTAGCTGTACGAAACTTAGCTAGATTCCAACACATGTGCAAAACTTAGATACATTACATACACACATGTGCGGTGCGGTGTAGATATGTAGAAAAGTAGAAATAACGCGCATTTTCTGTTTTATTTTTATAGAAAATGCACAGACAGAAATCAATAGAAATACGGAGGCATTTATTCTAAGACACGTTTTGAGATTTTTCGATACAAATGATTTGGTTAGTCTATCAATTTTTAATAACATTATTTTACATATAAAAACATTTCGAATATTTATAATAAAGCATTTAGAGAAGTACTTTCTTAATTAGTATGCATTTAAAATGCAGAAATTTAGGTTTTGTTAATAACACATGTCTCCTAATAATTGTCTAACATACCCAAGTATATACTAAAAATCAAAATTTCTCGGTAATTGTTCAAATTCAAATTGGACCTTTGTGCCCCGCCCTTCTCTATTTAAAAATTATGGTTAAAATTAATTAGTTTAAAATTTGCAAATAAAAAATAATTCTAATATTTTTTCCAATAACACACAATAAATTTGCAAATCGCTAGAGTAAGTATTAATATATACAAAAATACGTGCATATCTTAAAGAACAGATTTGGTTCATCTTCAAATAAAAGTTTTAATTAAAGTTTAAATCTTAGACGTCATTAGTAATGTTACTGAATCTTATTTCTAAAACAAAACTAACAAACCTTACCCCTTTCTATTAGAAAGAAATTGCTTTTCGAACCTTGGCTCCCTGCGATTTATAATTAAAATTTTCAAAGAATTTGATATGAAAATAGACCTAAATTTTCATTTTCATATATTTATATATTCAATATATAATTTTATAAAAATAAAAGTAGAAAAAAGGCAACCAAATGGGAGAAAATCTTGTTATCTTGTATATCTTTAAATATTAAACAGCATCTAAATTAGATCATTAGATTCAAAAATTCCTCAAAAAATTGTTAACTTTGCACAAATTAGTAGTGCTCTAGCACTGAACAATTAAAAAAAAAGTTAAAAATATCAACAAACTTTAAAACATTTCCTAAAGTAAATTTTATATACAATTCTATTAAAATAGTTATAAAAAAATAATATTTCTAATAGCATGTTAATCTTTAATTTTATTGAAAAGATATCAGTAATCATAATTGCAGTGAGTTCTGTTTTTTGTCCAGAAATAACAGTATTTTGTCATTTTTTTTCTGTTTTTGGTAATATTTGATGAGATCAGCCATAGTAAAGTATGATCTCAAATTACTGCATAAAATTCATATTAATAAATAAAAATCGTTTACACAATATTTTATACATTTAAAAAAAAAATGTTTAAACTTGTTGGAGTGCAGATACACGATGAATTGACACTATTTCCAATTTTCCACTAAATATTTTAATCTAAAATGTTATTTAATTAGTTCCTATTTAGTTTAAATAGTATTTTTGAACTGACAAATTCGCAATAGACATACTAAAATTGATGATATTTTGTAACAACGTGCATATAATAGTAATAAAATATGCAAATATTGTACTTTAGTGCGTAAAATACATTGTTGATTGATTCTTTTAAATTAATTAGTTAACGGTAAGATGCCAAAAGCAAAAAAAACTTAATTTTTTATATCTATCACAAACTCGTTCGAAACTTTTCAATATAAAATATGTTTGATTTATAAATAAGCAATATTATCTTATTGCGCATATTATTAAACGCTTATTGTTCATTATTTTTTATTTTATTTATTAATTTATTCATTTATTTATTATTGATTATTAATTTATTTATTTATTTGCTATTGCTTATTATTTATTTATTTATTTGCTATTGATTATTAAACGCTTACTGCTTATTATTTACCCATATTATTAGTGTTTGCTTACTATCAATAAACCACCGCTATATTGATTATTAAACGCTTATTGAAAAGCATTTATATTATTTAGACAAATTAATATTATGTTATTAATGATTTAATTATAATTTATATTGTCAATTAATTAAAATTAATTAATTATAACTAAAATTTTAAATTCATATTATGTAAATATTTAAAAAAAAATGGTCGGTTAAGCCTTTTTCAAGTGCCACTTAACCATTTATGTGTTCCATCCTTGTCTAGGGGAGTGCTAACCGTCTCTCCTTTCAAATGACACGTCTAATACAGTATAGTCGTTCGTATTTATAGTTACGCTTCCAAGCTGTATTGCACAGCGCGAGTTATCGCAGCATACCACGTGTACGTAGCGAGCGTCACACGCGTAGCCGGTACGCTTCAAGCAAATACTATGATACATTTATTAACAGATTCCAACCTTAATTTATTATTAGGCCGCTATAGAAAACTGTCCTTTCTTGTATTATTCATGTAATAACTTAGTAATCAAAGCTCGAATACGAAAATTTTACATGGGTCATCACATTATTTAGATCTAATGATTGTTTTATAAGAAATACAATGATAACAACTAAATTAATTTTTAATTTTAATAATTATTAATTAAATTTTTATATTTTTTTATAAATTATAAATTGAAATGATAAAGTAGGGGAGACAGGATACGGTTGGCTACTTTTTTTTTGATATGCTATAATTTTGATAATTTACCAGTTAGCTACAGAAAAAGTAAATTAAATGGTAATTTGAACTTTTGAGTACGTGGAAATACTGAAAACCTTCCTTAAATACGATGGTTTAGTTATAAAATCGAATTATATAAGAGAATGGCACCACATTCCCAGGGACTGGCATAAAAATAGGTCAAAAAAATAGGTATAAACACCAAAATAGTTTATATGGACTTTGATTGTCGTTAATAACAATAATATGCAACACAACATAACAAAAGCATTTAAACAAAGTTTATGAATAAAAAATTAAAACAAAAATATTTTTAATGAAACATATTATTTAAAACAAAGTTAACAAAAATCCTTTGTGAAATATTTTTTTAATTAATTTAAGAAGTAATATAAAATAAATTTATATAAAATTCATAAAAATCTTTTTTATATTAAATATGTAGCTTGGAATATTTTATGTGCATATAATTAGTATTATGAAATATGCTAGTCAAAAAACCAATTATGAAATTAAATATTAAAACCATTGAAATTGTCTCATTATTCATTTTTAACCAATGCTTAACTTGCAAAAAAGTTTATCTGAAAAGATTTGAGGAAAAACTAAAATTAACAAATTAATAGGTTCTTTATAGTGTTTTAAATGGAGAAATAACCACATTTTGCACGCAATTGTGAAACGTGAAATGCAAATGTGGAAAGCATTTATATAATAAAGTGAATAAACTGTATTTTATTATTTGTTAATTTAAATACATTTTATATTCAAAATCAGAATATTGAGAAAAATTTATTAATTACTACTGAGATCATTCTCAATTTCATAAATGCAATTAATTGTACATGCGTTTGTTAACTATTGCTCAGACAATAAAGAAATAAAGGATAACAGTACACAAAAAGAATTAAGATATGATTATGCTAATTGATTTTTCAAATGATTTCAAAGTAAATGTAAGATCCAGCTTAACCATCGAGTTAATCTAAGTGTTCATATCAAACTAAATCTAAATTATATTTTTTCTATCACATGATAATTTAGATGAAAAAAATACGGGAAAGATTTGTATGTCTGTTCCCATGGCGTTAGACTATAATTTTATCTAAAGTTCATTGCTACTGTTTTGTATGATATAATATCATAACATAATTGTTTGTAACAAATAGACAAATATCTCGTTTACTAAGCTATTATATTTTATAATAACTTGAAACTCACGTGTAATTTTCATGTGTAACATACGAAGCGTTAAAGTATGAAATCCTTAGGCCGAAAGTGATAATTAACTCGTACTTAAATTTTGATAAAAAATATCATAAAAAACATATAATCGCTTGATATTGTGAACACGCATATTTTTCAGTGACGTAGTAAATTCTATTTTATATTTGCTAATATTTTTTAATTCTAGAAATTTGATTAACAATATTTAGAAATACATCCAATTAATCTATATTTTTCAAAGCAAAAGATGCAAAGCTATAATTGCTTTATTTATTAATATTGCTAGGTATGAAAAAAACGAAGCAATATAAAATTGACCATATTTATTCGTGTAAAATTGCATTAATAAGTAAAAACAATTTATGTAATTATAACATGTCCTTAAATACAAATTACTTATACGATAAAATTTTACAGAGTTGTTCAATAGCAAAAACGCCCCTGACTCCTTTAAAGCATAAAGAAAAATGTCACTACAATTATTTTATTTATATCATATAATGAGTATGATTTTAATTATATAACACGTATATTTAAAATATTAAAAATATACAAAAATATCTGATCTTTTCTCAGAACTTTTTGTCGCCGTCCTTGGTATCAATTTGTACCTTTTTGTAATATTTTAGACGCTAATTCTCATATTAGTATCGTCTGCAATTTGGTATAATAATTTTCTAACTCCCTGAGAATTACTATATAATAATTTACGAAATTTAGAAGCTCCGAGCTTTGTGACTAATGTCATTTTAATAGGTTCATTTTGGATTCCGATTCTACTGTGGTTATATGGTTTTAATTTCATTTTTTGTCGGCCTGGTGTTCTTTGATACATATATCAAGATGCTAATGTATTTATGTATAATTGTAGAACAAAAAACTCAATACAATTAAGCGACATAAAGTCGATTATTTTAACAATAAACTAAAATATTATACTAAATAGTATTGGATATATAATGATAACACGAAAGTTTGCAACCTTGATTGAAAGTGATATAAAATCTGAATCACAACCTTGCCCTATAATGTTGGTTAAAAAATATAATAACAGATTATTATATTGAGTATTATTATTAAACTGATATATAAAAATATGTTGTAAAATTGTACATATGTCGTTATTGCTTCAAGATACAATTCTAACTGCTTTCTGTTTTATCAATTATGTTATGTCAAATATCTTAGATAGATCATGAGAATACTGAAAAAAAATAATGCTCTTATTACTTGAATAATAAGTATTTACGTGTAATTTACGGGGACTTGGAACATATCACAATCTCATAGATTTATGATGATATAATGAGCATATAAGCTTCTTTGTCTCTGTGGTAAGAATTGGTTTTGTAACCACATGGTCCGGATTCCATATTAACTTAGGTCATCTTAATATTAAGCAGTAAAGATATCAGTTTTTACTCGAAATTATAGGTTCAAAATATAGTTTCAAGAGAAAATAGACTTTCGCGTCAATATAAAAAATCTAATATTAATCTCATAAGAAACAGAATGATCAGCCACTGGGTAGACTTCTAGTAAAACTTGGTTAACGAATTACATCAAACCAGCTTATAGAACACATAGTTCTGATATCTCTCTAAATTTGAATTAAGAAAAATAAAGTCGACTCGTTTAATAATAAAATTATTAACTTCCCGAAGGAGAAGTTTATGTTTTCATAAAAAAATCCGATTCGCTAATTTTATGTTTTCTCGACGTTTCAAGCCATTCTGAATCGAATGAGACCTTTGGAAAAAGTATATGTTTGTGTGTGTATGTGAACAGATTTTTTGCCGTAAATCGACGTTTTTTCGAAAACGGCTGGGCCGATTTCAAAAATTTAAAAGCCATTTGATATATTTCGATGAGGACTATCGTTTGTCAGTTTTGTGCGACGATCTGCCAAGCCGTTTCTTTGTAATTTGAAAATAGTGTTAAACTTTTCGTCCACATTTAAGCTTATCCTACTGAACCGATTTTAAAAAATCATAAACTGTTCGAAAGATATTAGCTGGGAATGGTACTGATTAGTTTTAGGTGAAAATCTACCGAGCCGTTTTCTTGTAATTAACTGTTGAAAAAAAAATTTAAGACGATTTTCATGGATTTTTTTAGCGATATATATCATGGTTTTATAGAACTTACTGTAATACGAATTACGACAAGTAATTTAATTTTAAAATTTCATCAAAGTTTGAGAAAATGAGTAGTTTTTTTGACGTTAGCTAAAATTAAAATTAGACGATTTACTTGGTAGAACAATGTAGTACTTAGTCTTAATAAATATACTAAACCATTAAAATCCTACGGAAACTGGTTCAAATATAATAATTGTTGATTTTTGAAAAGTTGCTTTTTGAAAATACTCCGAGTTAACGTGTTCGTTCGTTTTCAATTATGTGTAATAAATCCACTCATAAATTAATTTATTTTTTATTGATTAAGTCAATTATTTACACATATCGGGAAGTTCATGTAACTTGCCTCAAAGCTAAATACCAATACCAACTAGTTGGTTTTGCAAACACATGTTCCAGAGTCCATATTCACTTAGGTTATCTTAATATCAAGCAGCAAAGATATCAGTTTTCACAAGTTGAAATCATAGTCTAAAATTTGGTTTTAAGTGAAATTAGACTTTCGCGGCTCTCATGAGAAATAGAATGATCAGCCACTGGGTTGTCTTCTAGGTTGAGCAATTACATCAAACCAGCTTATAGAACAAATAGTTATGACATCTGCCTAAATATATAAAAAGAGATAAGCAGATAATTCAAAAATGATTCAGTAATTTCCGCTGTGTGCTTGGTATTGATAGCATACAAATTTACCAAAGTCAAACAAAGAAATCCCATCAAATTTAAAAGTTTTCATATTTTTGCATGCCAATAAAACTCAAAGATCAAAACTTGTTCATACATATACTATTCTGTGGTAAACCTCGGTAGTCCCAATTCTGTGCTTCAATAAACCCACCAAAAACGTGGAAAGCAAATAAGTCTAATACTTTTCTTAGTTATAATATTGGTATAGATATAATGTAATAAATGCCTGATATTATTTGATAACTAAATGCACTTTTCTGGTAAATGCAATGGTTTATAAATCTCTCTTTGATTTTGAGATATGAATTGGTTCTTCATCAAATGAACCAATCCATCTGATACTTATAAATTATTAGAAGCTGCGGAACTTTGTAGTAAAAATATGGCAAGAGATTTTAATCTATTACAAATTCATATGAATTGTCAAGATATTTGTATATTTTCAATTCAACAGCAATCAGATCTTCAGCCATATGACCTATTGTGATCAAACTTCTCCTTTTACGCAGCATTTCTATGGTAGCTCAACGGTTAGCCTTCTTATATTTGATAGATTATTTTATTAGTAGAATTAATCTAATATTGATGATATATTATTTTATTTTATAAAAGTTATTGGCACAAGTATGTGGTTCGAACTACATTCATAAAATGTGAATTTTCCAAAAAATAATTGGTCGTACAGGTAGAGTAGAGCAGAGTTTGAAGGTCCGCGGGTAAAAAACTCCATTACCAATATCACTAGAACCAGTGAAGTTAAGAATTTTTTAACAACAATATTTGAAAGTAGAGGGAGAAAGATGTATAACCACCCATAATCTAGATTCTTACGACGTCGCGGTCGGTAAAAAAGGCAATGTTAAAAAATCCATAACAAAAGTTTTTTTTGTTATTTGTTTTGAGCACTGTTGCTTCATTCACAAGATCTGATTATAATTTTTAAGTATTCTTTAGTTATTTGTTTTATAAAATGGATTGTTAATTTTAAGTTAGATTCAACAGATGTTTTATTAATAACCTCCATAATAGCTTACACCTGAGCGGGGTCGAAAGGACCAACTGAAGCTTTACCGTGGCAAAGGTGTAAAAAATAAAAAACGCAAATAAAAAAGTGAATCAAGTTAAAAAAAGCAATTTTACAAGAGATAAATTAAATAAACAGTTATTCCAACTCCGTTGAATATTTTTGTCAAAATACCAGATCAAAGTTATTACAGTATTATCTTAAAATGCACTCATTAAATTTATATTTTGCATTGGTTGAATAATATAGCTATTATTTTGTAAAATTCATCTAAAATTAAAATAAAACACAGGACAACACTTATTTTTCACTTGGGCGTCCGAATTTATTCAGCCTGTGGGGTAAAAAGGACCAGGTTACAAATGTTTGAAAACGGCAAAAAACTCATTTCTACCAAGATGAATGAGATGGTAGTTTTACTAAACATATAGACAGATTGTTGTTTGTTTGATGTGTTTTTGTTGTGATATTATGGGTTTGATTTTCAAAATATAAGTCAAGTTGGACTTTTGTGCCGCGGCCATAACCTACCATAAGTATCGTGATCAAGGAATTAAAAATAAATAAAACAATAAATTTATGTTCGTTAAGACAATTGCATTAATAAATATTATCTAAGAACACTCTTTGTAATCTTAAGTCTATATAAATATAACCACATTCAATCAATGCATCCAAGTTAAAATATTGTTACGGTATTGACCGGAGGATGAACCATCAGTCAGATTGTAACAGCCGATGCAAGCAGAGTTCATTTTTTGTTGTATTAATTATGTTCACCTTACAAATCAGTGATGCACGTCATTTCATCTTTTTATTTCGTGTTTCATATTTTTCATTGTTGTTTGTTACGCGAGCGCGTAACACCAGTACACGGCATATGTTGTGTAGTTAATGATTTTATAATTACTCTGCAAGCGGCCACTCATTAACCTCCGATCCGAGTGCGGCAGCCGACCAAAAAAATTTTAAAAATAAATACCGACCCAAAAACGAAAAAGACGGATGTCGAATATTATATACCGAAACGTTACACAAAGAGTTGTATGTAGATCAGCAACTTGCGTGATGTAAAAGATAGCCAGGAGTTACAATCAAAAGGATTTCCCGTCAAATGTACACGCCAAGTTTCGGTTTCATTGTGTTATTAAAAGATCTTATAAGTCAATAAAGCTGAAAAATACCTGAAGACTGAACAGGTAGTTAATAAAAAAAAATCCACCGATTTTTAGAAGAATTCATAAAAGAATGCTTTTGGATGATAATTTGCAAATGGAAATGTCTAGCGACCTTCAACCTTTTTTATGTTTAAAGTTTATTTTGAACTTTGATAAATAATTTTAAAGAACAACAAGTATAAGTTTGCACTTACACTTAATGTGTAGTAGAAGGAAGCATTCAAAATGTTTATGTGAAATAAACTGGGTTTTAAAATATATTCATTAATATAAGAAAAACAATTTTCATTGCTTTTTCGGCTTCCTTCAATACAACAAGTACAATATAACAAGTAGTAGGGGTGACTGGGCACGGTTGTGCCACTTTTTTTTATCAGCAATAATTTTATTAATTTATCAGTTAGCTCGAAGAAAAGTAAATAAGATAGCAATTTAAACATTTATCTACGTGAAAATACTAAAATACTGTCCCTGAATACGATGGAATAGTCAAAAAGTGTCACAATCTGTTATGATAGGCATAAATATGGGTTAAAATACAATAGGTATAAATACCAAAGTGTTTTATTGTCAGAAATGCAATAATGGTAACTTGTTAGAACAAACATACTTTATCATTCTCCCTTTAGACCTTATTTCAAAATTTATATAGTTCAGCTGTTATGACGACTGCACTACCATACCCTGGCACAACCGTACCCAGTCTTCCCTACCTATTAAAACGATTTTGAGATATATTTTTATAGTTATTATTTTTAATTCTCAAACATTAAACCCCGTGATGGGCTAATATTTTAAGAATTTATCTGCTGGCTATTAACAAATCAAAACAATATTGTAAATATTTTACTATAATTTAAAGCTAGTGAACTAGATGAAACTGATACAAATTCATAAATGCATAGATATAAATCTTTACATTTAAGTATAATATATATTTTTAAAGTATGAAAGTTCACAGGGCAGTATATTGTGTTGCATTTACACACATCAATATTATTAAAAAATCAAGTTTGCACTGTGTAAGTTCGAAGAAATAATTTAATTACAATTAGCCTTTTGAGTCATTTGCAGCAACACAGATATGTATTTAAAAGATATCGTTTGAAAAAAGTCTCAGTGATATTTTTTTATATATAGTATTTAGATAGGTTTAATTAATACAATATTTATTTCATAATATTGAATTTTTAGTCATATTTTCACAAAATTTCTTATCATTACCTTAGCTGTTATATTAGTTCTGATTTGAAAAATGTACTTGGAATATTTCTTAACAGATGTAGTAAAAACTATATAGAGTATAGAACAAATATCCAATTTGACTTTCAACTATTATATTGTGAAAATCAAATCAATTATATCACAACAAATACCACATATCGAACAACTATCTGTGGTAAAATTGAACTAATTCATCATTGTAAAAATATGTTTTTCTTCTATTTTTCAAAAATTTGTCACCTGGCGGGTAAATTTGTCTTTTTGCATCATAGGCGGGGTAAAATGGGACAGCCACGAGACAAACAATCGATTGTCTCATTTTCAATTTTAAATGGATTTTATGAAATAATAGCTACAATATTCAACAAATACAATATATAAATTTTATGGACACATTTTTTAAAAAGATAAAATTATATAATCTTGATCTGGTATTTCGTCAGAAATATTCATCAGCAGAGTTAGAATAACTATTTTTATAATTTACTTTTTGTAAAATAGCTTTTTTTTAACTGCATTTATATTTTATTTGCTATTTTTTATTGGTTACTTTTTTGCCAGAGTAAAGGTTTAGTTGATCCTTTTTATCCCATTCCCGTGTAAGCTTTTATAGAGGTTATATAAAAAGACTGTTGAATTTAACTTAAAAATAATAAAATAACAGTGCTCACAACAAAAAACACTTTTTTTATGGACTTTCAAACATTGCCATTTATATCCAGATAGCAAAGTAGTAAGAATCAAGGTGGTAGCTGGTTATACATCTTTTGCCTTTTACTTTCAAATATTGTTATTATAAATATCATAACTTTACTCGTTTTTGAGATATCGTTGATGGACCATTTTCCCACGGACCTTTAAGCCCCGATCTACTCTAATATAATTTAACATCAAAATAATATATTACAGTAGTAAATTTAACTAAAATCTCCTTGGGTATGTGTAATATTATGTGATACACAAAAAAATTCGAAAACTCCATAGCTCCTAGAAAAAAATTGTTCTAGCATAATAAATAGTTAAGATTGATAAAAAATAGAAGTGCTTAATTAAAAGAATCGTATCGAAATATACCTCTGGCGATCATCACGCATACATCGATATCTAAATAACAATTCATCAGAATTCTGTATACATAAATACATGCTCTGTATACCTTTTTTAATTTCATACATGCGTAGTGTTTCTTCCGTTCTTTGTGTGACTTTCAAAGTACGGTGACTCATTTTTAATTACATTTATATAATTATTATTGCTTTATAATTGCAAACGCAATTAAAAAACGAGGTCTTACTCGTACTCATTAAGTTACCTGATCACTTTTTTCTTTTTCGTTTTGATTCTTGCATTGTTTCATTACGGTAAAAAATATTCGCCTTTTGTACACATAATGAATTTCATTTATTCATTATGAGTGTATGGTTCTTTGTATTTTTAATGAGTGAATTCCTGATAACTTGTAATTATAATATAAACGTATAATGTTATTGATCAACAAAGAAATAGATTTAAATATTTAGATTATTTTAAATTTGAAATATGAATTATGAAACATATAATGGTCATCACATTTTTACGAAACCAGGCAATAATCGTCAAATCGTTTTCTATCACTTTAGACATCAATTACGCATAAAACATCATATTCTTCAATCGATGTCATCATGTAGTAGAGATTTCTTTCTCCAAAATAAGGACCTCACCACATACAAAACCGTACGTTCACTTCATAATTTTCAACATATAAAAAACATTCTATATTTTTCTGAATTTGTAAGAAAAATAAAATTATTTCTCTAACTCTCTAACATTTTAAAAATAACATTAGTGATATGAGGATAAGCGAATAAGAAGGATATTATTTTATTTATACCCATTTAAATTGTTTCGACCTCTTTCTTTTTTTTTCAATACTAACTAATTGTATTCGGGTAATGATCATCGACGATTAATAAATATTTTACGGATTTTTTGTTAAATCTTACCCATTAACGTCAGTCTGGGTCATAAACAGTCCCAAAAGCATTCGAGCTATAGAATGGTAGATTTGGAGTGCCAAATTTGAAGCAGTAGTTTTAGCTCCTGCCAACCACCTCTTAGTAGTTCCATCTAAAGATAAAGGATGCCAAAGAGAGCGTGAACGGCTGCTCATGGCGTCCAAATCTACGGTGTACCACTGAAAGAGGAAAACATAACTTTGTGAAAAAAAATCATAGGTGAAGGATAAAAATAAGGCCGAAGTTCAAAAATTCCGTTGAAATGTGTGAACCTAATTCTTCAGGAAAATACATCGAAAAGAAATTGATTTTTTTACAGTATCTATATTATTTCAATGCGATTAGAATATTAATATCATCTTCAGTGGCACTGCAATTTAAAAAACAGATTACAATATAAATTAGAGCAAACCTAATTAATTTGTTTAAACTAATTAACTAAGTAACAGGATGCCTCACAACTATATTATTTATATTCAACAATATATTTATTTAAATCTATTTTATATACTATTGATTTTTCTTTATTTAATTTACAATTCACATGATCCAACGAAACAAACTAACTCACAAGGTCTTCTGCAATCAAAAGTGTATGATAATCAGCTACTTCGGAAAAGTTGTAATTATTTTATCTAATTATAATAAAATAAATAATATAAATTAACAATTGATAAATATTCAGTTCTAGCAAAAAAATCAATTAAAATTAATTAGCGCACGTGGTATTTATTGTTTATGAGTGTTGAATATGTTACAATACATAAAGCAGTAGTGTGCAAACTGCGGCACTTGAGCTTCTACCAGCATTTACTATCAATAGTATAAAAAGTAACTTTTGGTTCAGTAACAGTATATGTATTTGGTAATATCAACGAAAAAACTAAGCAATAATTACTTATAACGTTTTTAAAGTTTGTTCTATTATATTTTATACATTTTATATATGTGGTTCTTCGATTAAAATATTACAACAATCAAAATATGTAATTTGAATCACTCTATATCTGCATCAAGACACAAATACATAAACAAAATATTATAAATTAAAATAAATTAAATTTTTCTTTCTAAGTCTTTTGCATATAAATATTTGAGTAACATTAAAATTAACTTTTCTATTCAAACTAAAAATTTTATAAAAATTAAGATCTTATATTTAATGATTAAGTTTTTAATAAATAGTCATAATCCGATTAATGGTCTCGTATTAAGACAATTATTCTAAAATTTTTATTGAACTTCGATGCATTTTTTGTCTGAACAAAAAGTTTGTACTATGCAATATAATTCTTTGGATTTGAGTTTCTGAGTTTTTTTGATAGAAACTGCATAGCGATATGTCGTTTTTCAGATTTGAAAACAATCATATCAAACATCATTTAACATCATACATAAAATAATTGATATCATCACAAAAATAAGCAAAAATAAGCACATCAGTTAGTTCAGCATTGTCTAATATTTATAAGAATTATATAAACTGAATTAAAAAGTTTCAAAAGAAATTGTTTCGTTAACACAAAGCAGAAAGTTTTTTGAATCATTCAAATCGGATGCTTCGAATTGCAGTTCTCTCAAAAACTGCAATTTTTTGTACATTTAGCTCCGTATCTTTCAAACGGCTAGACCTGCCCTTGCCAAAAACTAACCACTACTTCTCCCATAATTACGAATTGAATGTTTTATAGATTATTCAAGTCGGAGGCTCAGTTCTCCTAAAATCTCGATTTCTATTTTCTGCACTCTTTGCTCTGTATCTCCGTAACAGCTGGACTTGACTTTACCAAAAACTAATCAGCACATCTCCCTGTCAATAGGAATCGAATGTTCTTTGAACCATTCAAATCGATTGGTGCGTCAAATCAATCAATTTTTTCTGAGGTATGCCACAATGTTCAAAAACCTTCACGAAGTGAAGATATGCAAAAATTTTCATTCTCGATTTTTGGTCCATTACTATAACTACCCTACGGAAAGTTAATAAATTACTAAGCATTAACACCTTGATCATATATATGTGAACCTAAAAATTACTCACTGTTCCGTGATATTATTAATTTCGGTCTATAAATAAATCTGAATATGCATGGATCATTAAACATTTAATATAATTGATATTACTAAGCTAATTTAAATGCAAAGTTAATGAAATAGTATTGCTATCCTTGAACATTATTTAACCTAATCATCTTACATATAGGGTAGGACGGGGCACAAAAGTCTAGTTTAACTTTGAGCAATTATATTGTGAAATCTAGACGAATTACATTACAGCATAAAATATATATCAAATAAACAACAATCGAACTGTATATTCAGTAAAAGTCCCAGCTAATTCATTATTGTAGAAATGTGTGTTTTTTCCATTTTCCAAAATTTTGTAACTTGGTTCTTTTTGCTCCGTAGGCGGAATAAATTAGGGCGGCCAGAGGACAGACAGATCCAATGTCCTATTTTAATTTCGAAAGAAGTATTTTTCAACCAATGCAAAATATAAATTTCAAAGATGCATTTTTTACAGAGATAACACTGAAAATAACCTAGATCTGGCATTTTATCAAAAATATACATAAGCAGAGTTTAATTAACTATTTACATAATTTATCTCTTGTAAAATAGCTTGTTTTAACTTAATTTACTTTATTATTTATTATTTGTTGTTTTTTAGATCTCTGCCAGGCTAAAGGTTCAGTTTTTGCAATAATGAGAAACATTACCGATACCAAATTGTTCCTTTTCAATTATCATTCTTCTCAAACTATGTTAGTGAACATAATATATTTTTGTTTTTACGCTCGGCTCGATATAAATATAAATCCTGATTAAATTAATTTCACACGTGTATTCTTACTGTTCTCACAATGTTCTGTTTATACAAAAGAGTTCTTTTCACTTATCTCTTATTATGTTAAGAGTTTTCAATAATAAAGGTACCCAATAATTATAAAATTTTATTTCAATCATCGCAAAGAATGAATCACGAAATCAATTAATCACTCTGCCCAAGCAAACCACTCACTGTTTAATTATAATTAATAAATAATAATAATGGGCGATATAATTAATATTAATAATTATATAATTATATACGAACATCTATCTGCTATGTGAAAAATATTGAAAGTCATTAGATTCATTAAAGGCTAACTCTCTTAATGAGACTAGCAGCGCATCTATGGTATTTGAATCTTAACATTAGCGGCGATATTTTTTTATGAAATAAATAATAAATATTTACAACAATATAAACATATAATTGAAAATAATATACACACTCTGATTTAATTTTGCGCTGGCAACGAGTATTCTATGAAGTGACTGACTATTCTTTTGTAAATGTAGTGAAGATTTTACTTTTTTAACCACTTGTACTTGATTGATTGATTCTTATGTGAATAATTTCAATAATTTCAATTATTGAGCAAAAATGTTGAAATTTCATTTAGTAAAATATAATGTAATAAAACAATCTTCCCTTAAACTTATCCATTCAAATCCATCAAATCCATGGTCATTCGTATTATTGCAATACATTTTCGATAATTTACAGTTATAAATTTATATTAGATAGAAATGTGGTCAATTCAAATTAGGATAGAGTGGGGCTTGAAGATCCGCGGGTAAAAAGTCGACCACCGATATGTCAAAACCAAGCAGTTAGGAATTTTTTAGCAAAATATTTGAAAGTAGAGGGAAAAAATGAATAACCAGCCATCACTTTTGTTCCTACGACGTCGCTATCAAGAGATAAGGCAATGTTTGAAAATTCATCATAAAAGAATTTTCTTTCGTTGATAGTTTTTTAGTTATGAGCACTGTTGTTTTCATACAAGACCTTATTATAGTTTTTAATTATACGTTACTTAATAGTTTTATAAGATATATTGTTATTTTTAAGTTAGATTCAACAGATTTCATTAGATTCTATGAAAGGGTAAAAAAACAACTCAAACTTCACCCTAAAGTAGGTGTAAACAATAGAAAACTAATGAAATTAATAGTTATTCAAACTCTGCTAATGAATATTTATGATGAAAATCAAGTTTATATACAGTGTTACCTTTGTGAAAAATGTGCCTATAAAAATTATATTTCGCATTGTTTGATTAATGTGGATATTATTTCGTAAGATCTCTATAAATTTAAAATTAAGATATTGGATCTGATTGCCTCATGACTGTCCTTTTTATCCAGACTATGGGGTAAAAAGCGACATAACAAATTTTAGAAAAACAGAAAAATATAGCACATTTTGTATACACTATAATTAAGAATTCACTAGAAATTTTTCAGAACATAGTTGATAGTTGTTTGTTTGACATTTGTTATTTGTTGTAGTTCATTTGGTTTACACAGAATAAATAATTAAAATCAAATTGGACCTTTGTGCCTGCCCTACTCTATATAAACACTAAATTTTAATTTTTTTTAGCAATCTATTTAAAGCATTGTATTAGTAACGTGATCTATTGATTTACATACTTTACAATAAAATGTTCATATAAAAATATGTTTATTGTAAGCATATATTGTTATAATTGATGCGTAAAAAATTGTGTAAAATATAACTATTGCGAATAAGAAAAATAACTAATAAACGACGTTTCAGAACACATAATTAGACAAATAATAAATTTAACAAGCCGCGACGCCTTTATATGACAACATTATATCGTAATGTGAGTTATATGTATTCTTCAAATATCACAATTATGAATTTCATTGTCTAGAACTAATTCATATTTTCCATAAATAACAAAACTAAAATGCTACAACAAGGATTTTTTTACACTTCAGATGTCATTTTAAAACAAGCAATATTATTTCAGATAATTGAACTATTATTTATTAAACTAGATAATATAAAATGCAAATGAAAGTAGCTATACTACACTAATTAAACCTATTCATATATTTGTTCTAACGGATTTAACAATTATAAAACAGTTTTAATTTGTTACCTTATGTTTCGCGTTAGGTTCATACAGCGTTTTAAGTAGAGCAAATACTAAAATAATTTTGACTAGACATCATTTACAATGAATTAAAAATTTATCACTTTCTTTGTATTACTACTCACTTTTTTTATTTCACTTTTCATATACAAGAAGATACTTAAAAAATGTTTTCAGAAATTTTTTGTTAATATATAATTTGATTGTACTTTTTTCAATAT